CTGGGGAAAACTAATTTAGTGGATTAATTTGACTTTATACTGCCATTTATGTACAAGATACCAAACCAAGCCTTGCAGTGACAAATAATTCAAAAAGCAAGATTGCTTTTGATTGCTTATAATCTACGTGCCTAGATAAATGTCCAAGCAAAAAGATGGGTATGAATTCATATGAGTTTACACTCATTTATCTTCTAATACAAACACTATAAATGCTAGCTCTCACAAATCTTGTCCTACCAGATACAGCTTCAGGATTATGCAAAAAAGCACCAGTCCTTAGGTTGATTTGAGAAAATAAACTGTCAGAGACAAATATCTTTTGACTGGTGTCCTTCACTCAAGGGCCTGGTGCCTTTATTCATCTGCATCTCTATAGACTGGGATTTCTAGGCACAGTCCTTCCACTTAATCTTGTTAATATTTCCAAAATCCTTTTCATAAGCTAAAGATCCATTGTGAAATTTAGATAGTAATTAACTCCCTCCATTTCACAGATTACAAAATGAGAAGTTGCACAATGTTATTTCAGATGGAAGCAGAAAGAGGATCTCTGATACTCTGCACAGAAACATCCACTCCAAGCTACTCTAACATCAGCTGAATAGAGCAAGCAAGTCCAGAAATTTCAAGATTCAGATCAATGTAAGACTGTGTTATTTTTCATAACTAGACTAAAAGAAGGTTTATTTCTCTGGTGATGTTTCCATCTCAAACAATGCAACTCTTTAGCTCAAGATAGGCCAAAATAAGCACGTCTCAAAAATCCCAGCTTCAGCCTTCAACAAGAGACAAGAACCAATAATCTCTCTCAATTCATTTTCTACCACAGGAAAGCATAGCTACAAACAGCACCAATGGCTGTTAGCAAACTGTAACACTCAAAAAATGACAGATTTTTTGTTTAATTCCTACAATTTTGGGAGGAGGGCAGAATACATAACTTTTTAACTTCCCAGCTAGCACCAGCAACTCTACCAAAACACTTCATGACCAAACAATTCTCACAGAAGAACTGAGGCCAAGAAAACCCCAAATCCAACAATACATACCTTTAGAACGGTTTGTTTCATAACCCCGTTGTGTTTTAAAGGGCTGAGGTTCAGAACATGGAACAATCTTAGACTCTATTACAGGAATTGTCTCTCTCGCATGCTTGGATGGCGTACTTTCATCTCTGCCCCCACTCAACTCCTGCACCTTTGGAGAGAGCATTGCTGGTTCTTCTCTGCGTTGTAACACAATGGTTTCTAAATGTGCATTTGCTGAGTCAATTTCTCCTATGTGCCTGGCATCATTAATATGTAGTTCATTGGCTTGCAACAATACTTTTGTTTGATTAGTATCTGAGGTTTTGAATAAGGTATTAGATTCAACGCTACACGAGCTTGCATGACTCACAGGAGATACGCCGGCAGAACGGCCAGTACTTTCCACAATATCCGTTTCCCTTACAGGAGCAGCAGCAGGATTAAAGATCGGAGAGGTAGAGACATTGTGGCCAAAATCCTCTGCAAGCAGCGCCCCTGTCCCACTGCTGGGCAGAGCATCAACCTCTGAAACAGAATCCTCTGTCAGGGCGACAAAGTCGGAGGGGGTCTGGGCAGCCGTGAGGTCAGCTGACAGCAGCGGGGACTGCAAGGAGCTTCCCATGCACTCTGTCGTCTCGGCCGAACATGGAGGAGAGGACTTGGCAATCACAGGTTCACTTTCCACATACGATTTAACCTCCAGCAGGCACCTGGACTGCTGCACAGAGGAAACTGACTGACTCTCCGGAACTGGTTTGGAAAATTTGTAGTGCGATGAGAAAGATTTAGTGAGAAGTTTTCGCGTGGATTGTTTGACAGAGTATCGGCTCTGCTCCTCTGCAAAGCCTGAATCGTCACCCTCATTCTTCCCAGAGCTTATGCAATTTATGAAGACATTCTTATTAGCTGAGGGCTCCTTTCCCTTTTCAAAATCGTCTGTCAAAGATCTTGTTATCTTCTTGCTACGCGAGCTGCCAAAGCCAACCGAATGCCTTCCTCTGCTTTTAATGTGTTCATCTAAGCTCAGTTTTTGAAAAGTGCTGAGAGAAGACTGGGCACCATTTGAGATACTAATGTTCTGACTAGCCGAGTCAGGCTTCTGCTCACTCCCTTTCTTGTTATGGAAGCTAATAGAAGGGGTGCGGAAAATACTCCGGCGCTTGCCTGTGCTCCCTGAGCTGGAGTTAGTGCTGGATGGGGAGGCGTGGACACCAATGGCATTAGCAGAAGAAGGTGAAGAGGGAAGGGAGTCGTGTCTCCGGCTAATACTTCTCCTGAATATTGGCAACCGAGATACTAGAGTCGATCGTCTGGATCCTGAGTCCCCCATCAGGGCACAAAGCGTCCGTGGTTCTTCGCAGCCAATAAACTAATCTGGGATGAGAGAGGGAAAAAAAAAAAGCAAAGATAAATTATTCAGTCTCAAAGTCCACTTGAACAGGCTTTAAGTTGGCCTAAATACATGAGATGCCAACACCAATTTTATATACAGCTGCAAGTTGTTGTGTTTGCATTACTGAAGATTTTTAGGATTTCAAAGTGATGTTCAATAGGCAGTGCTGAAAACCCAGCAGCTGAACAAAGATGTGGCTCAAAACATTCTATAGATAAGAAATACAGTATTACATATGACATTTTGTACGATGTGATAGATCACACTGGATAACATCATAAAATCTACATACCAAAAGATATACAAATACAGCACTTAAATGTCCTCGGTTTTGTAAATTCTTGGCACAAGTCATCTTATAAACTGTAAATTGTCCTAGAAGAGACTTGATTTTTCATTACCAGAGTAGAACAAAACATTATTTTGTGTTCCTAAATACTCAGGTTTTTGCAAGAAAGAAGAGGATTTAAATTTTTCAATCTTCACTGAACTTTTAGTTGGATTTTTAATTCCTTTATGTGCTCCTGCTAAAGGCTGTATGTATCACCTTACAGCAGAAAAAATGCTGGCATTGCAGACGAGCTAAAATATCCACCACCAAAAATTCTTCCTCAGGAACTATAAGTTCTAGGAATCTATTGTGAAAATCATGTTTCTAGATTTAAACTTTATTGTTTCCTTTGAACACTTCTCTGAAATCCTCTTGTAGTCTACTTGCTTATAATGAGCTTTTTTGCAGGGTTGGTTGGGGGTTTTTTGTAAAATTAGTGGAAATTTTTCATACACAGACACTTGGCATTTTCTATAAATATTTAAGCAATAAAAACTTATTTTGATCAGCACAGCAGATGTACTGGAAGAAAATTAATCTTCACAAAATTTATACCAGTTCTATCTCATTTTTGTTTTCGTTATAATAAACTACCATTGTGAGAGACAGGACCACAGAGGGAGCAATAAAAGCATGTGATATATAATCACAAGAGGCTGTAGATATAATGCCTGAGTGCAACTCCGTGAGCTGCAAGTGTTCAGCACGTAGGAATAAAAATCAGGTCATTTATCTAAACAATGTTTGTATGTCAAGTGCAAAAACAAATTCATTCATCTAAAGAGCAATTTAATATGCGTTATGTGGCTACAACAAACATCTATGAACAATATATATCTTTATACAGTATGTATATACATACACACACATATATATACAAATAAAAATGGGAACAGAGTATTTAAGGAGTAATAAAACTACATTTATGTTATATTACTGAAAGAAAGGGTAACGAATAAGTTCAGAGACTATTTCTGACTGTACTTTCTGCATTGTTAACTTTTTTTTTAAAAAAAAAGCTACTACAGCTCCAGTCTGAACATGCATTGCCAAGTAGCCACAACATTCACAAGCACCAGGAATCAATAAGCAATTTTGTAGTTTAAGGTGAGAGAAACAGGTTGGGAACAGCCACGAGTTCCTAGAAGTCATTGGTGATCTCTGATGACAAACTAAAACCCGACCTAGACAATACTCAGGTCTTGCAATTGAAACCCAAATTTGAATTCAGTCTGACTGGGACAGAACTAATGGTCCAGGCACACACACAGGTTATCGGAATACTTTTACATCCACCAAACTGACACACAGCGATTGCTCCATTTCACTGACGCTTAACGTAGTTTGCATTTACACGACTGAAAGCAAAACCAGAGGCAACAGCACAGAGAAGCTGAGACCCTGAGAACTCACACGGGGGCTTACATTATGCCAGCTTGTTCGTCCATTCACGGTTGAACCTACTGAAAATGGGCTTTGGGAAACTGCATGCAACCCTGTTCACCCTCCTGTACAAACATCTGTTGGTTCTTTAACCACTTCCAGACCTCTTGTGTTGTTTTTAGTTTGGTTGGTTGGTTTTGTGAACATGTACTTGCAGGCATGCTGATATGTATGGATACGCACAAACACAAGATTATTTAAGAGATCATGAAGGTTCTTCTTTGTATTTTAAGGAGACATCGTAACTGCTGAAAAAAGGACTTCAGAATGCAATTTTACAACTGCAGTAGATGAGCAAAACATTTTTACAATATATTAAATCCTTGTAGACATTTTATGCTTGTACAAAACATTTGCCCCATGATTCTCTCTCCTGCCCACACCTTAATTGTCAGTTTACAAGAGAACAAACCATCCTGGTTTACAATTATGAAATTCTCTGAGTTGAGAGCAAAAGGAAACAGAAAACTGAGGAAAAAGCCCATATTGTGACTTTCACTGGAAACAGAAAGGCTGTGTCCAAATAATAATAGAGATTATTCCCAATAACTGACCACGAATATATACAGCCTTAGCTTTCCATGTGGTTAACAATTTTTAATAGAATACATTGCCTCTAACAGCAGATAACAAAATAGCATTTATTCATTCATTCTTCCTTGCCTCTTGAAGGAAGAGCACAAATAAACTGCAACATTTCTCTTATTGTCTAAGCAGCAGAAATCCTCACCCATAAAATATGAACTAATACTGTTCTCTCTAATCTGCAATAGCTATCAGAAGACATTTCTCAAAACACACACATCCATGTATACACACTTGTATATTTACCTATACAAATGCTTACGTGCACACACAGTTTGAATGCTTTGAATATTGTGAATAGGATATTAATATTTTTAATATTATTTGCATGTACTTTTTTTAATATATACACACACACACACACTTTGCAATGTAAATGTTCCAAAGTTTAGCACTGAGTTAAAGTGAGAGGTCTACTTGCAACACAGGAGAAAACACTATGTATTTCAAGATATTAATACTCTCAGCTATTAATGAAATAAAATCAGTCTTTTTTTTTTTTTTCCACTTAATGCAGAGGAGTTACAAACTGCCATATATATCCTATTATGAACAAAATAGGAGCTGCTTCCTTTCTGTCTCCACATTTAACATAATTACTTGTGCTTACCACTTTACTGCAGTAACCCTTACAGAGCAAAATTCACTCCAGCAACATATTCTCTATGAAACCACTAATTTTCTGTGCCTATCATCCTCATCCCTACCAGCACCATCCTTAAAAGCTGCAACAACAAAACACCTTTGCAAGGGCATTATGCCATTCCAGACAACACTTTCACATTTAAGCTGGACAATTCTGATCCTACACAGGCAATCTAGGACCTAATACAAAGCTCCGTGTACCTTAAAAGAAATTATTGGGTTTTTAGAATACTAGCAAGAAGTCAAGTAAACAAGAAGCATGAAGGAAAAGTGACAGTCTAGGAAGGCTTTCAATTGGATCAGGCTCCTTTATTTAGGACAAAATATATTTTGCATCATTATCACATAATTTGAACAGTCAAAAAATAGTATACACAGTATTCTGTACGGAGGTCTGATTCTTGGTTAAATACACGAACTATTAATTAGTTCATAATATTTTTTTATTTTAAAATCCAGTTATTGCTGAAACTGAAGTGATTACTCAGTGCTGCAGTAGACAGACATTCAAATTTCACTTTTTATTGAATGAATTTGATGCATGCTTTTTCATCTGGTATTACACAAGACAAAATTTGATATACTGAAGGAAAATAAATAAACTATTTTGAAAATATTTAATTGCAGCCATAGCAGTGATGGATTATTTCAGGATCTGCTCTTCCTCAAGAGCTTGGCTACAGCTCACAGTTTCTGAGCTCCTGTGCCAAAACCAATGCCAATAAGAAACAGGCAAAGTGCAAACAAAACTTTTTCCCCCTCTTACTAGCAAGTTAAAAAGTTAATCAAATGGAAATCGTTTCCTTTCACATTGGTCTGCACCAAGATGTTGCAAAATAATATATTTTTAAGATTAATTTGCAAAGTCATGTATTTAATTGCCAGAGGAAACAGAGAGGCCAAGTTTTTTTTATACTCGGGGCTCATTCTTTCCAGACAGGAGACCTTTAGAGGAACCATCCAACTACACAATATTAGGCCTTTATCTTGCCTAAGGCAGTTGTACAAGTATAAAATACATAAATAAACAGTGTAAGAATTATACAACAAGCTCTGTATTTTATATATTGCTATATCTTGTCAAAAGAAGAAAATTGCTCAACTTTCAGACAGTAGATGTAATGGCAGAAAAAACCCCACAAGTGTTAAAACAAGTAAAATAGTAAAAATATTACACCAAAAGTCTCCAGAGAAATCTACTCCACCAATCCACCAGCTGAAGAGTAAAACCCAGTATTTTTTATTTCATCTTCTGCCAAGCGGTTACTCACACAAATGTGCCAAAGTGCACAGTGTATTCAATAAAGAGCAACTCTAGCTGGCGGGTTTGAACTCCAGTAGATGGAGCCATGGATCTACTTTTTCATCGACTGCAAGCATGAAAAGCAAGTCAGTACCTTTGACGTTCCTCATTGCCTTTGAGGCAAAATTTAGGACTTGAAATTATTAGTGAATTTTACCATTATCATAATTACACATACATACCAAAAGCTAACACATGCTTATTCAACAGAGAATTGTAATGCGTAGGCCAGTATAAACACTCCTTTTATAAATAACCAACTTGCTACTAATTCTCAACACTTTTTAAACAAAGCTTTCCCAACAATGTTCCCCTTAAAGATGCACCTCCTACAAATATCAAACAATATCTTCCATGCAAAGAACATAACTGAATTAGCTAAGTTTAAATTGGGAAATGACATGACACATAGCTGAAAGGCCCCAACCTTAAATCAAAGAGCAGATCAATACTCATCTGCTCCCCACCTCTCTCCTCCATGGCAGTATGATTTTTAGGCTGCGCTCATAGTTTAAGGAAGATGATACATTTTCTTTAATGCTTTGAATCAGGAACCATACAATATGGGAAAACACACAGGACTAACATGAATCTTGAACTGCAAACATATCCCATCCCTCACATGAGCAC